AGAACAGCCAAAACCACCAACTTTATGGGCGGCCGAGCTCTCTGAAAGGAGACCTCTCGAGAGCCGCAGAACGCCGAGGCCTCGAGAGGAAAATGACCCCAGTGCGACCCTACCTAGGAGTTGGGAGCCCCTAGGAAAGCAGCATTAGTAGTAACGGTAAACGCCGTCCTCCTCCTTCTCCTCATCGTCGTAGTTGCCTTTGCTTTTGCTTGTTTTTGCTTTTGCTTGGTTTTGCTGTTGAGCTAATAGAGTAAGAACCCTCTAGGCAGAGCCTAGGTAGAAAAAAATGTTGGTCCGAAGATGACCCCTGGGAGTCGCCGAGAGGCAACCTTCCGAGCCGGGCAACACAGCACAGAGCCTGGACCGTCGGTTGGCCACGGCCCTCCGACCCCCTTCGGGGCTGGCTGCTCGAATCGGGGCGGCCCACAGAAAGATTACTCCAGATCTCGAAATAAAAGGGAGGGGGTCTGGACCCTCCAAGACAAGCCATTTCAGACCTCCCCCCGTGGGAGAACCCTCCAAAACATCGTCCCCAGACCCCCCCAGGCTCTACAAGATAGCCTGGAAGAGACCCCCCCCGAAATGAGACCCCCCTCCCTTTATTACGAAATCTGGAGTACACCCTGCGAAATGCTTAAGAAATCTTGGGTTAAGAAGTTCACAGTCTCAGAACTTTAATCAACAAAAATCCCAACACTTCTATGAAAATCTTAAGACTTGCATTGAAACGTTAAGAATCATCGAGACTCTGGCCGAAGACTTACGTTTTCTTAAGCATCGCCTAAGGTGTAGGGCTGGGGGCCACGATAGCTCGGAGGCGCCCAAGTTTCTGAAGGTCTGCGGGAAGAGAAGTGGGCCCATATCCAGCTCCTCACAGGGTCTGGCCTTGAACCGCCCGCTCAGTCTGATCAAGGCATCGGTTGAATCGTGTCTTGTTACCTAACAGCGAAGACTGATAGGTTTCTAGTTGACTCAAAAGAGCTCACAGATCACTCCACAAGGGGGTCCGGGCAGGTGTTGGGAGTTGCCGGGCGGCAGGTGCCGGGCTCGTTTTTCGCCAACAGTCACACACTTCGTGCTCTTCGATTTCCCAGAACTCCATTCCCAGGCCACATTCTGGAGGGCCGAATGCAACAGTCACACACTTCGTGCTCTTCGAGTTCCCAGAACTCCATTCCCGGGCCACATTCTGGAGGGCCGGATGCAACAGTCACACACTTCGTGCTCTTCGAGTTCCCAGAACCCATTCCCGGGCCACATTCTGGAGGGCCGGATGCAACAGTCACACACTTCGTGCTCTTCGAGTTCCCAGAACTCCATTCCCGGGCCACATTTTGGAATGCCCGGAGCCAACTGTAGGCCACTTCGTGGTCTTCGAGTTCCCAGAACTCCATTCCCGGGCCACATTTTGAATGCCCGGAGCCAACTGTAGGCCACTTCGTGCTCTTCGAGTTCCCAGAACTCCATTCCCGGGCCACATTTTGAATGCCCGGAGCCAACTGTAGGCCACTTCGTGGTCTTCGAGTTCCCAGAACTCCATTCCCGGGCCACATTTTGAATGCCCGGAGCCAACTGTAGGCCACTTCGTGCTCTTCGAGTTCCCAGAACTCCATTCCCGGGCCACATTTTGAATGCCCGTAGCCAACTGTAGGCAACTTCGTGCTCTTCGACTTCCCAGAACTCCCTTTCCTGGGCCACATTTTGAATGCTGAGGCAGGCTGATGCTGCGGTCGAGGCAGGC